CTCAAACGGGAGTTTTTCTCGAAAGAGAATTTCTCTTAAAGAAATGGAAAGGTAGAAATATTGAACTTGGAGAAGTTCAAGAACAACAAATCAATGAACCTGAAGTTGAGCATGTTTCACAAGTTGTTGAGGAACAATCAACAGATTTTGAAACACAACCACTGCGCAGATCCACAAAAGAACGCCATGTACCTGAGAGATTTGGATTTCTCATTACCACACATGGAGATGTTCTTCTTATGGATCAAGATGAGCCTAGAACTTATCAAGAGGCAGTGTCTAGCATAGAATATGAGAAATGGCTTAAAGCCATGAGATCTTAGATGGATTCCATGTTAGTGAACCAAGTGTGGACTTTGGTTGAACCACCTGAAGGGGTCAAACCTACAGGGTGTAAATGGGTTTTCAAGAAGAAAACTGACATGGATGGTAATGTAAAAACATACAAGGGGCGATTAGTCACTAAAGGTTTTCGACAAGTTCATGGTGTAGACTATGACGAAACATTCTCCCCTGTAGCTATGATTAAGTCCATATGTATCTTGCTTCTAATAGTTGCATTCCATGATTATGAAATATGGCAAATGGATGTCAAAATCACTTTCCTTAATGGAACTCGAAGAGGATGTGTATATGACACAACCGAAAGGTTTTTTTGCTCTAGGAAATGCTGAAAGGTTTGTAAGCTACAGAGGTCTATTTATGGACTAAAGCAAGCTTCTCGAAGCTGGAATTTTATTTTCAATGATGCAATCAAAGAATTTGGTTTTATCATAAATGAAGATGAGCCTTGTGTTTATAAGAAGGCTAGTGGGAGCATTGTTTCTTTCCTAATCTTGTATGCAGACGACATACTCATCATAGGAAATGATATACCTACTTGATTGTCTCTTAAGACTTGGTTAGGTAGTTGTTTTTCTATGAAAGATTTGGGTGAGGCAGCGTATATCTTAGGAGTTAAGATCTATAAAGATAGATCAAGATGACTTCTAGGTCTGAGTCAAAGCACATATATAGAAAAAGTGTTGAAAAGGTTCAGTATGGAAAAATCCAAGAAAGGATTTTTGCCTATGAGATATGGCATTTCTCTTTCAAAGAAAATGTGTCGTTCAACTCCACAAGAAAGAGAATTGATGAATAAGATTCCATATACTTCGGCTATTGGTTATATCATGTATGCCATGATATACTCGACCAGATATATCGTATGCTTTAAGCATGACGAGTTGGTATCAGGTAAACCCTGGTGAAAATCACTAGGTTGCGGTAAAAATTCCTTAAGTATTTAAGAAGAACTAAGGATACATTTCTTGTCTATGGAGGGAAGGAAGAGCTTAGTGTAAAAGTTTATACTGATGCCAGCTTCCAAACTAACAAGGGTGACTCACGATCACAATCAGGTTTTGTGTTTTGTCTTAATGGAGGTGCTGTGAGCTGGAAAAGTTTGAAGCAAGACACAATAACTGATTCTACAATAGAGGTTGAATACATTGCATTCAGTGAAGCAGCAAAAGAGGTTGTTTGGATCAATAAGTTCATATATGAACTAGGGGATATTCCTAGCATATCAGATGCTATAAAACTCTGTTGTGACAATAATGGAGCCATTGCACAAGCAAAGGAACCCATATCTCATCAACGGTCCAAACATATTCTTAGGCGCTTTCATCTCATTCGAGAGATTATAGGTCGAGGAGATGTGGAAATATACAGAGTACACACGGAAGACAAGATTGTTGATCCCTTGACGAAGCCTCTTACACAGCAGAGGCATGATCGTCACACTGAGTCACTCGGTATTAGATATGTGAGTGATTGGTCGTAGTGCGAGTGGGAGATTGTTAGAGTATGTCTAAGGACCAATCATATGATGATTTAATGATACATTTTATTTACTGATTTTATTGAATAAAGGCATTGCCGCTATTATTTTTAGTTATATATATGTGTTTAACATAAACTGAAAGATAATAAAGTCCATATAATAACATAATTGTTATTATTAAAAGATCCCTAGTCAAGTATTATTATGAGCATGGACAATAATAATACCCTTAAGACTAACATGTTATTGATTGATGACAACGAGTTGTCATTGACATAGAGATTTCAGAATTGATACATGATTATATTGTTAGAGAAAAATGTATTGGATTGACCCACCATGAGCATATGTCTTGAATTATTATGTGATAGTCATAACATTGCTCATGGTGATGACTATATGTATGATCCTCAGACTTGAGATCAATGTTATCCCAACTTATATTGTTGTATGTTTTGATGCAGTTAAACATGCTCCATAATTGGTTGCTCTATAAAGACTGTTATTGAATATATCACGATATATGTAGTGGGTATGTATGATTAAGATAGGATTTGTCCTTCCTACAAAATAGGAAATATATCACAGGCCACTTGATTGAGTGAGACTAGAAATGCATGGCAATGCTCGAATAAGTTGATATTAGATATCACAAATTTTTCGTTAATTAAAGTCTACTCTAGATATCAAGAAACAATATATGGGCAAGTGTGACTATTCGAAGACTTGTGCCTACTCTAGATATAAAGGACAAAAGGATGTAATACATAAAAGAGTTAATGATGAAGATGATATGTCGAATCATATTTTCTTGTAACTTAGGTAACAATGATATATTGCTAGATGTCACTCATTGTATGTAATATTATAATTGTTCTAATAATTACTACTAACGTTACAAGAACCTACAGGGTCACACCCTAGGATTTAAATGAGCAAAGATGTACAATTTGTTGTACGTTACTAAAATATATCTAGAGTTAATGTATGTTTGATATACATATGTTTTAATAATCCTGAATATTTAATTTAAATTAATTAAATAAAGATTTAATTAATTTGAAATAATAGAAACCCTAATATGTTATGGTAACTTGGATATAAAAGGAGGTGTAAGGTCTAGCAACCCTTTTTTTACACATTATCTTCAGCCGTTTTTCTCAAAAATAGTTTTAGGAAAAGCAAATATTGCTCTCAATCGGGTGAATTGAGTAGAGGTCGACAAATTTTGTTAAGTGACATGTGTCACGTTTAGACACTTTTGAAAATTTTAATTTTTTTAAAAAAAAATTATTGTATTAAAAAATTAATTTCTCTACAATTAAAAAAAACTCAAATGCATAAAATCAACATTAGAATTTCTAACCCTAACATTACCATCTCTTTTGTGTACCCATGATCATTGTTGTCGATGTCTCTCTTCTCATCTCCCTTGTTGGTCGTCGTCGTCCTTGTCGTCGAGTCGTATAGGCCAATATTTTTCAATATTTTTTGAATTTTGGACCGTGTAGTTGAGTTTTAGGGTTTGAGCCATCAATGTATCGCCATAAGCTTGAGGTTCAGTATGGTGAAGGTTTGATCGACGACAAAAGTGGCAAATGACGGTGATCGATGTGTGTTTAGGGATTAAAATTAAGGTTTTCTAAGTTTTGAGTTTTTTTTTATATTTGAGAAAAAATTTAGAATTTTTTTAAAATATGACAATTCTTGAAAAACAAATTAAAAAATTTAAAATTATCAGAACATGACATGTGTTACTTAACAAAAACTTTTAATGTCATCATAGCCAAAGCACTTAAAATGATAATGTTTGTAATGTTAGGTACATGCATAGACAAAGTTATTCTTTGTATGGCCAAATATTTGGTATAATAGCATTCTAAGTATCTTTTAGTTTAAATATTAATCAAATAAGTCCTTTGTCCCTCCCACTTTTTTAATTTAAATTTTTAATAGACCCTCATCCTCCAAGAATTTGATTCGAGTTCCTTTCATAAACATCTAAATTAATTGAAAAATAATTTAAATAATTGAATAAGAAAATAATATAATTTTAACACTTATTTTTATATTAATTCTTATTAAAAACTCTTTTATATTAATTCTTATTAAAAAAAAACTCGACTTTCGAATGCTGAACTGGCTATTTGCATCTTTTTTCCATTATAATTAGTCCACTAATAAAGTTTTATTTACACAACTTTTTCTTTCTTTAGTGATGGCCCAATTTGCCCCTTTGACAGCTATGTCCTGAAAGAGATTGTACACATCTATGATTAATAATTCACGAAAAATTGAATCGATATATATTAGAATATACATTTTATTTGATGATATTTTTAAATATTATTTTTAATTTTCTATAATATCATTTGACAAATTCAAACTTTAGATGGATAGTTAATATATAAATTCAAATCTTTACGAACATTACTAATGGATAATTTTAAATAATAAATGTAAGGTTAAATTACGTATTTAACCACTCATCTATTATTTTGGTTTTATTTTGGTCATCAAACTATTTGTTTTTTAAAATCATATCTAACGATACGTTTTAGTTTGTTTCGATTATCTGTAGCTAAAAAAATAACGATTTATATTCGTAGATAGTTTTCTCACAACGATCGATTATGATTTACTGTTATCGGTGGTCTTTCAGTATTTTAATCCTCTTTTGTCCTTCGTTTACCTATACAAACAAATTTATTTGTATCTATCTTTACTTTACAAACTTCATTTTTAAAAAAATTTCTCTTTTTAATAAACTAACGACTCTATTTGTATAGAAAAAGTAATTAGTGACTAAAACAAAGTATAAAAGAGTAAGTGGCTAAATACGTAATTTGTCTTAAATTTAACTGCATTGAAATGATTTTTTATTTATTTTAAGTTTGGGAAAATGTTTTGAACTTTTGAAAAATATAAAGGAGCGGAAATTAAATGTTGAATTGATCAAAATATTTTTTATGAAAAATATAGAATAATAATTTGAAGGGATCAACCCAATTAATTTCGAAAAAAGGACTAAAGAAGCCAGCTGTTTCCACCAAGAACGTGACGAGGAATGGGGTCCGTAGATGGGGTGGCAATGGAAATGGACGGCCAAGATGAATTTTACATTTGAAGAGAGTTTGATTTGCTCTTTAAAAACAAAGAGGGCGGGTATCTTTAACTGCACAATTCCACCAACAATCCGTTGAGGCTGAGAATCCACAAACCAAAGGTATTTTGTTTCTTTTTCCCGGTTTTTTTTGGGTATTATTTTCTAATTTCATCGGACTTGGATGCTTAAATCTTCGACTTTAGCATCTTTTCAAGTAAAAATGCTTATTTTTTCACTTAATTTTGCCTTTAATTGTTGCTAACCCTGCTTCATTATCAAGGTACACAATCCTAATTTTATCCTTTAATTTGATTCTCATTGATTCAACAAGTTAGATCAAGAGTTGAATACAAAATTTATTTGTTGAGTTCCTCAATTGAATGAAGTTCGTTTTCAGTCGACGATGGAGAAAATAATGCTAGTGTTATTCCTGCTTCATGATGTCATTTCGATTTCGGATGCTAATAGTGCCACCTATTAGGAATAGCTTCTGGTTATAGGATGTATCAGATTCTGATAATGGGATCATTTAATAAATAATATATGATTATTGACGTTTTTCTGTGAAACAGGCAGCAGAAAAATGGCAGAAAACGAAGATATCCAGCCTCTTGTTTGTGACAATGGGACTGGAATGGTCAAGGTAAGCATTCGTATTAGGGATGGACCGAGAGGGGTTTGGCGGGACGGCAGCCCCTTGAAAATTTCAAATTCTGCTATAATTAAATTTTTTTTCTTTGTATTTTCTATAGATAATCTGTTTTTCTCCTAAAATTCTTTAAGTTCGATCCCCCTAAAATTTTTGTAAGCCCCTAGGATAAAATTCTAGGTCCTTCCCTGATTCGTATGATCTCTATAACGAGTATAGTCTGGAAAAGTTTGTTGATTCGATTGATCTTGTGATGCTGATTGATGATGGTGAACTTTTCAGGCTGGATTTGCTGGAGATGATGCTCCGAGAGCTGTATTCCCTAGTATTGTTGGTCGCCCACGTCACACAGGGGTGATGGTTGGCATGGGCCAAAAGGATGCTTATGTGGGAGATGAAGCTCAATCAAAGAGAGGCATTTTGACTTTGAAGTACCCAATTGAGCATGGTATTGTTAGCAATTGGGATGATATGGAGAAAATCTGGCATCATTCCTTTTACAATGAGCTTCGAGTTGCCCCCGAGGAACATCCGGTTCTCCTCACAGAAGCTCCTCTTAACCCCAAGGCCAATCGTGAGAAAATGACTCAAATTATGTTTGAAACATTCAATGCCCCTGCTATGTATGTAGCTATCCAGGCCGTTCTTTCTTTGTATGCCAGTGGTCGAACAACCGGTAAGCACTTTTGGTTCGACTTATTGTAGAATTGTAGTGATTGTGATCTGAACAAACACGTTTCTTAGCCATTGTTTCCATAACATGTATGGTTATTTTTTAGGTATTGTTTTGGACTCTGGGGATGGTGTGAGCCACACTGTTCCTATCTACGAAGGCTATGCTCTCCCTCATGCCATCTTGCGTCTCGACCTAGCTGGTCGTGATCTCACCGATGCCCTCATGAAAATTTTAACGGAGCGTGGGTATTCTTTCACGACGACGGCTGAACGGGAAATTGTTAGGGATGTGAAGGAGAAACTAGCTTACATTGCTCTCGACTATGAACAAGAGTTGGAGACGGCAAAAACCAGCTCTGCTGTGGAGAAAAGCTATGAGCTACCAGATGGACAGGTTATTACCATTGGAGCCGAACGATTCCGCTGTCCAGAGGTCCTCTTCCAGCCATCCATGATCGGGATGGAAGCTCCTGGCATTCATGAAACGACATACAACTCTATCATGAAATGTGATGTGGATATTCGGAAAGATCTATACGGAAATATTGTCCTCAGTGGTGGCACCACTATGTTCCCAGGAATTGCCGACAGAATGAGCAAGGAAATCACTGCGCTAGCTCCTAGCAGCATGAAGATTAAAGTGGTTGCACCGCCGGAGAGAAAGTACAGTGTTTGGATAGGAGGCTCCATTTTGGCATCCCTCAGCACCTTCCAGCAGGTACTCTATCCCCCTTATTGTCGAAAAACCAATCATATCGAGGCCGAGTCCCTCACTATTTGTTACAATCTCATGTTTTACATAGATATGCTTATAAACAACTGTGTATTCTATGTCGTAAGCTACCTCACAAGGACTATGCCTCAGATTAAACGAATGGCTGATGTACAATAGTTTAGACAATGTTTGTTCCTTGCATTTTCTAGATGAACAATTTCCATAGGTAAAAGGTGAATTTGACAGTGGATATACTTTGGCAGATGTGGATTTCGAAGGCGGAGTATGACGAATCCGGGCCATCAATTGTACACAGGAAATGCTTCTAGTGAAGAGCGAGCCTATACGAATGGTACGCATTTTGCATTACAGTAAAATTCATTAATTAAATGGTTGCTTTTCCTTTCGTTTCTTTTTCTGCTCTGTTACTTTGTTTCCCTATTTTTCTTCTCTTTGAGTTATAATTTCACTGGCCTTTATCTATTATGAATGAGCAATTATTTCCGACTTGATGTTAACTATTTCGTTAATTTTACAACATAAATACCCACTTGGAGATCAAAATTTAGCTTTCCATAAAAGGAAATCAAAATCACTTCAAAGTTTTCTTTTTTGCTTGGTAATGGTAATGGGAGAAGAAACAACTACTAGATGTTTGGAAATAAAGTGAAAATCCTTACAGAAACTTGGTAAAAACCTCACTAATTATTTCAAGCGACAAGCTATTAATTCAGATGATGGACCCATTCATTTCCTGATTTACATCAATGTTGAAGTTTGATGGTCCGCTGGAGTCGGCAAACCCCTTTACTGACTGCTCCGGAACAGACATCTTTGTACCAGCCGATTCGTGGTCTATAAAGATGACAACAACTGTAATATCATCGTGGAAAAACCGCCTTATCCCTTTGTCTACTTTCTTAAGATCATCATATCTCATCTCCCTTTTCCTAGCCACCTCGTTTAAAGCCGTTCTGATGAGCCTTTTCGCAATTTCCTGTCATTAGTTTCGACTAAAATAAGAGAGGGAAAAGTTTCATGGTACAAGAAGACGCAAAGAAATGCAATGAAAGCAGCACTTACTGCTCGTGGGGAGCTTGAAACGATCTCGACGGCCTGCTGATTCGTCAAATGTTCCCAAAGTCCATCTGATGCGAAAATGAGAAACTTGTCACTAGGTTGTAAGACCCTGGTGCACAATGACGGCTCTGCTGTTAACACAGGTCGGCGGATCGGTTCGGAAAGGTGAAACCATGGGAAAGATGGGTCGAGGGAAAACTCGGGCCTCTTTAAGTATGCATCTCCGATGGATCTAGATACCTGAACCAGTTCATAGGTGAATCCAACACAAGGAACATACAACAGTCAAAAACACAAGTGACTTGAGCTAAAAGTTTTTCAAACAAATGAATATCAAATTGACTTCTGAGACAAGTAAAAGAAAAAACACAGCTCCAAAGATAAAATGTTCATAGTAAGGGTCCCCATTTATAACAACACATATACATCATAGCACAAAACTCAGGAGAAGATGACCGACGAACGAAAATGAACATACCTGAATGATTCCTTTGATACGCCATACTCCATGCTTCATAACGACAATATGCGAATCATCCGGATGCAACGACCTCAGTTCCTGTCTGACCTCCTCTTTACTTGCATTATGATCACTAGTCAACTGCTCGGCGACTATCTTATTCGATCTACTCAAGCAGCCGATTACAGCTCGAGAATCGCCCAAATTAGCAACATACAACATGCCCCTCCATATGACACCAACCAGACAACAAGATCCGATTGCAGCCATTAATGGTTTTATTCCACATGTCCTACGTACAAGACCCAGAAACTCATCTTCAGTTGCAGAGAAAGCACTTCTAAGAGTATCTTCAGAAATCCTTCCATTTGCTCGAGCAAGCCCTGTCAAACCATGTGTAAGATCATTTGTAGAATGAATTAACAAAAACCAACATGCAATAAAACTAAAAATATCATTTATTTTGTATCATATATAGTCCTCATCTTTGTTAATCATACAAAATTAGGTAAACCCTGAGAATGAACTTGACACTCTAAAAAGTAGGAGCGGGCATTGAATAAAATTTTTTTGAGCTATTCAAATTGACGAATCATATTTTATAATTCGAATTTTATTTGAATTTTTTTATTTGGTCGAATCGATTCAAGTTGTTCAAGTTTTTTTAATTTTAATTGTAAATATTTATAATGTTATTATATTATTTGATTCTAATTTAAATGGTTTGCATAAATAAATAATTTTTATTTGTGATATGCATATATCATGCAAAGTTAATGAAATTGACTCAAACTTAAAAATCAATCTATAAATTATAAAAAATTTTGAGTTTAATTACGTAACTCGACTCGAATTTAAAATTTTATCACAAAGAGTTTAAGTTAGCAAAACCCACTTTTTTTCTGAGTTGAATAGAATCCTACTAAAAAGGAAAAGAAAACGGCAAAGTCTGGAAAGGGAGTTACTAATCAAATTATGAAAGAGATGATCAGAGATAAAGCGGGAAGCATCAGGGCCGCCATGTCCGTCATAGACACCAACAAAAATTGCATCTTTGCCGGTCTCAACTTGACTATGATCTTCGATGATCTCATTGGCTTGAACAACAGCAAACGAGAAATCTCCACAACAGTGTTTTTCAAGGTCTCTACACCAAAGAAGTGAGTCAGGTACAGATGAAGAAGAATCTTCTTCAAGCTCATCAGTACTGTTGGTATTGTTATAATCCTTGTTCATTCGAACATATCGACTCACTGGTCTCCAAAAAGCGAGAGCCATCCTTGACAACCATGAAAACATCCCTCATTTCCCTTGGAACACAAGCAAAAGAAAGAATGGGGGTTTTGAGGTTTTAAGGGTGGTTTTTAAGAAACCCCCACCAAATTATTAGATGAGTGGAAGTGAAATTCAGATTGGGCTTGTTGGAAAAAGTGAGGAAAGTGATGAACGAAGGATGAGGAAGAATAAGAAGAAGAAATGAAGAAGAAAAAGATGAGAGAAAGTGGAGTGAGCGTCAGAGTTGTAGAGAGGAAAAGCTAACGTTTTCATAGGGAAACAAAAGTTGACGCCTCCTATAAGAAAATACCAAATACCTCTATTTTATTTCATTTCCCTTTTACAAAACAAAACTTGTAATTTTTCTTATCAACTATTAAATAGTATTTTTTTGGATTAATAATAAGTTGGTTTAATAAGATAAGATAAAAAATCTTTTAAATAATTTTAAAATTTAAATTTTAATATTTGCAAATGAGGTAGACTAATTTTAAAAATGTTAGCTTTCGTTTTTACAATATTCAATTCAGATTAATCGATTAATAGATTTAATATGAGTGATAATATTAAAAATAATTTGATATTTATTTTTTAAAAAAAATTAAAAAATAATTTATTCTTTTAAAATTTATTTTGTTTAAATTATTATAATGTTATTTTTTTCTTTTTCACATCCATAAATAATTTCTATATAGGAAAATTAGAAGTACTTACAAGATATCAAGCCCGTATTTAGTATAATCAATATAAATATAGATCGTTTAGCATTTAATCAATGATCATTTTAGATGAATTTAAAAAATATTTTTTAATATAAAATATTACGTTTCACCCATTATATCATAATTTAATATTTATATTATATTTGACACAAAAGTAACATATTTAATAAAAATATAAAAATTAAACATATTATAAATAAAACGTTAGTTTTGGTTTATCTCGAAATTAAAAATAGTATTTATCTTTCTCATTAAAATTTATTGACTGGTAGTTATGAGAGGTAACATATACAATTTATATGGATCTTTTCCTACTTATAAATGAATTCGTTTTATTTAATATGCTGTAGACACCCACTTTTACCTGGGTAAAAAAATATTATTATTATTATTATTATTATTATTATTATTATTATTATTATTATTATTATTATTATTACATCATTGCAGGCTCCATAACCCGAAGCCCAATACAAGCCCTAGAGACCAATTACAATCACTCAACAAACCCAAGCTAACCCAACCCACTAGAACCAACTAGAGTCCAGAGCCGAGGTCTGAACCTAACCCGGTCCAAGCCCAGCACCCAAACCCGTTAGGGTTTCTTCTTTTCAGCTGCTAACGCCACCTCCAACAAGCCATTGGATCTGAACCAGCCAACGGTCCAGATCACCCCGAAACTAGGGTTTCACCCTAATGGATAACATCCAACCGCCGCTCAAGCCGGATTTCACTCTTGTCGTCACCGCAATCAGAGCCAATCAGAACCCATCCATCCTACAGTGATAACCACAGTGACAACAAGTCCATCAAGCACAATAAAGTCAGAGCAATCAGAGAAAAATAATGAAAAAAAATCAAAACAAATCTATACTATCTTGAGGCACATCAAACCTATCTCCTCATTCTATTTATCATAAGTCATCACAAAGAATCCACCAATCATACATGCAACATAAAAGCAGAGAAAAAAATAGAATCGGGGATTGAGAGAAATATTGGGGAGAAATTATTCGGGGTTTGAGAGAGAAAAATTAAAGGAAAAAAGAGAGAAGAAAACACACGAGAAAAAAATAAATATATTCGAACCAAAAAAAAGAAGGAGATTACCTTCGGGTCTTCGACGACGACTGCTCTGACGGTCGGACTACGAATCCTAACGATGAAAAGGTGCGTGCCAGTGAGGAAGCCAACATATCTCGACGGTGGCCCCGTCGGACGGTGGAATTAGCGACGGCGTAAGGTAAACCTTTCGAATTCCTTTTGTAGATCTAAACGTGGGGGTCGTTTTTAGGCTAAACTAGCTTGGGGTTTGGGTAGAAATTGAAAGGATGAGCTTTTTGAGATCATTTGATCCCTCCGACCACTGTGAGTCATCGTGGGCTCCGCTGTGAGCCGTCACGGCTGTCACCAATGAACGGTAACTTTTTTCCCCGACGAGGGAAAAGTTGAGAAAGTTCTCAACTCTCTCTTCATTTTCTTACACGGAATAAAATAAGGGAAATGATGTTTTGTGGCCTGATTTTGGGCCTTAAATATTGTGCATGAAACGGTGTCGTTACAGTCTAGGTCCCTCCTCATCTATAATATGTTATTTTGATCATTAATAAAAATGTATGATATTTTATTTTGGGCATTTATTTTTTGATATTTATGATTTAGTCACTGATTTCATGAATTATGATATTTTCTTTGATGTTCACATTTGGCCATGACATTTGTAATTATTTCATTTTAGTCACTGATTTCATGTGTTGTGGATTTTTGCTGATATTCGAATCTGACCCTGTGATTTATGATTGTTTCATTTTGGTCACTGTTTAATATTGTTATATTTAGGATTAATTGTTATTTGATCCTCCATGTTTTTGGTTTATTTTATTTTAGTCCTTACTATTATTAATGAGTTATTTTCATTTATAGTACTTGTTTAATATTTTAAATCTTGGCTCTGGGTTGTTTGTAATTACTGTTTAGCTCC